GTCACAATGGTCTCAGAGCTTGGAGCAAGGTCACGAAATAAATCACGATCAACAAAAAAATGAGCAGTGGCACCACTGTCCACCAATGCACGATTGCTGGTGGCCAGGTTGGTGGCTGACAAACAAGTCAAGAACAACTCGTGGTGACGATAATGTGTTTGTGCGGGCGAATAATTCACAGCAGGAGCAGCGGGCAAATGGGAAGGAGGAGCAGCAGGTGCAGCAGGCAAATGGGAGGGGGGTGGAAGAGACAAGGTCGCGGTCATGATGGGGGCCGCAAACTGCTTGCCATTGTGCTTCTCGTACGCGCGCTTCTTGCGGCACTGAGATACATCGTGGCCATAGATGCGACAAAATTCACAGTTGGCATTGACGCGCTCACTCTTTGGGTGGGGCCCGTGGTGTATACCATGGCGACCACGGCCACGACCACGTCCACGACCGCGTCCGCGACCACGTCCACGGCCATGCCCGTGCCCGCGCCCTCCACCATGCTCAACAGCAAAGGCACCCTGTTTAGGTTCGGCGCGGGCACCAGCAGGCGTGAGTTTGTGCAGGTTAGCAGTCACCACCTCAAAGAACTTGCCCAAATCCCAAGACGGTTGATACAGGTTTGCAATCACGTCCCTGAGTTTCGAAGGCAGGCCATCAACCAGCTGGGCGATGACAAGGGTTGCCGAGTAGGCGCCCTCAATGCGAAGGGTATCGACGGCGGCAGTGATGGAGGAGCGGTAGACAGGAAAGTCGTCGGCCGTGCGGATGCGTTGGTCGCGAAGAGCCTGAGAGGCTTGGGTAATGTCGTGACGAGTGGTCTGGAGGAAGAGGGCGCCCATCTGTTTGAACCAGGCGCCCAAGACGATGCGTTGGCGTGATTTTTCGCGCTGAAACCGAGAGGCAAGGTCACCTCTCAAGCACGGTAAGATCCAGTCAACCATGATGTCGTTGACGTAGATGAGGTAGTCCAGGTCGGAAGAAATGTCGCCATAAATATCCTGGATACCAGCGGCGGTGCAGCCCTCTAGATCGAGGGT